AATTACGTTCCCACAGAACTAAACTGCATTCTCAATTACGTTTAGCTAGAAACGTATTTTCTCCCACGTTACGTTGTTATGAACGTATCTCAAATACGTTTATTTTCTACATATCTTCTAGAAACATATTTTCTCCCACGTTACGTTTGTTATGAACTATCTCAAATACGTTTATTTTCTACATATCTTCTAGAAACATATTTTCTCCCCACGTTACGTTTGTTATGAACTTATCTCAAATACGTTTATTTTCTACATATCTTCAGAAACATATTTTCTCCCACGTTACGTTTGTTATGAACTTATCTCAAATACGTTTATTTTCTACATATCTTTGCCATTTATTGTCTTGCTTATAATAATGATAATAGTCATTTATAAATATCATTTTAGAGCACACATTTGAAATCGACGATCGGGCTTGATATCCTATGGTTAAATTAAAATCAGTAGGCGAGGCTGTAATTTCGCCAGCTGCGAGGCAGATTTTTAACATGCCAAAAAGCTGCTGTGTCGTTTATTGCACCTCAAACACCTCAAACTTCCTCTAAGGACAGCAGAAGAGCTCTGTGGCTTCAGGCTTGATCGCCGTTCAAATGACAGCGTTGGTTTCCCCAAAAGTGGGTGGGGCTGTGACGTAGATTTTACTCATCTATTATTCAAAACCATTCTATTTATTCTAACGTAAATTACATGCCAGTGTTTTATATCTTTTATTAAGCGATTTGTTTCTGTTGTTTAACTCATAGATATTATAAACATATGTTTTTATATATATCTATGGTTTAACTGGGAATGTTTTCACATTGAACCGGAAGTACGTCACTTCACTTTGTCTTCTTCGTCCCTTTTACGTTCCAGACAATGCATGGCTCAGCGTAACAGACTGAACAGCGACCCCAGGTGTGTCTACATTGGAATTACATCTTCATTACTGAAGGAAAATACTTGACCTAGTGTTTGTTAACTGGGTTTTTAATGCAGTTGGCTTTTCTTAATGGTTACAATATTGCTATGAGTTACAGTATATCTGAAGCAAATTATGTTTCTGAAGATGTGTAGTCAATTCCACCCTTCAATGTAGCATAAATGTGAACTCTCATTACAGGAACAATACCGGAAACAGACGTAGGAAAGATCCTCAGCTCGCTGATTGGATGTTTTAGCCGCAATGCACGTTGGGATATGGTGTTTATGCGATGTGAAATCCGAAAACATTAAAAAAAATAATAATACTTTATTCCGAGTGTTCTTGCTTTTCTCTTTGAAAGTCATCACATAACGGCATTGTAATACACGGTTCGGCTGCATTAAATATTACACATCTGCCATAGTTCTTTATTTATAGAGCCCTGATGAGAAGACTTCTGGACAAACAGGAAGAACTGCCGCCGAAACTGAATACGTGACGTGGATCATAAATATATCAACAATTAAACAACATCTTACATTTCTTTTCACAAAATACCTCCTTGCAGTATCAATACTAATTCGGCTGACTTTTATATTTGATCCAATTGGTAGATAGGTTATATTTACACCATAACGGTGCACAGCTGATAGAAAAGGACTTGTAGTTTTTAAAGATATTACTGATTTTCTTTGAATATAAGAATGTAAATACTGAGTTGAGAGAATAGTCAGGGGATTTGGGTGATGGGAGACACATCTATGGAATCACAATTTCAATAGCTTACCATTAAATGACGGATATACCTTTCTGTCTGTGATGTTTTACAAATCAGATATTAATGTGTAGAAGTAAACATGAGAAATAATATAGCAATATCCTGTACAATTATGTAAAAACATGAATAAAACTACACATCTTCAGATGTTATACATACATAAGTGTCCTACACTAATAATACAAAGTTATTATTAGTATACTGTGTGTACCTTGTGTGCACCGCCTAGTGGTTAAAGCACGTTATTTAATTATTTTTGTTGAATAATGTTATTTGATGAATAAAATATTAAGAGTACATACTTTCATAGGGGGAAAGTAGAAGGTCAATGATAGAAATATATAGAATATAAAAAATCAAGAAGATACTGTAAGTGATCTCTACAATAAAACAGTTTAGTGCCTGTACAAAGATATTAATATGAGGATGTGCAAAACAGACAAACTAATTAACCTTTATTAACACATTAAAGAATACTTTAGGTTTTCTTTCAAATAAGAAAAAAGCTTTGGGGGTATCTATCTACAGATAAATATTAAGCCTGACAAAGTACTTAACGTCTAATATATTGCTTTCCTGCAATGTTAACTGTGTTGAAGCACTTATTTTAACTGATATTATATATATATTAATTATACTCTTATGTAGTAGATAGTATAAACATGTGCAGAATTTGAGTTTAATGGTGGAGGTATACACACATATTGATAGATGTCTTGTAATGCACTGTTGAGGAACCTGTGACCCAGTTTTTCATTAATTGCATAACTTCAACATAGTTGTGTATATGATATGTCAATAAACCTTAGAAAATCTTGAAAGGGATATGCAAAATAGCCATTATATACAGTTTTTAATTAACTATTAGTAGAGAATAACGAGTAATGAATATACTTTATAGAGATCTGCAGATAAATGTTTAGTCTTCTCAAGCACCAACTAGTATCTCTCCTGATTGTTGGCACTTGACAATCACCTTTCCCTGAATTTTACTCAGGTGTAACTAAAGTCTGCTTTAAGGGTTGTTTATATTTCACATCATTAATCAGAATCTGCAAAGTAACTAAAATAAATGTAGTGGAGTAAAAATACCAGGTTAACCTCTGAATTGTAGTGGAGTAGAATTACAAAGTAACAATGAGCTGGCATGTGGGTATATATTAATGCTTCCCATTATGGACACAAGCGATTTTCACCCATTTATTAATTACATGTTTTACATTTGTACACACCAATTTGTTTCCTATCCCCTAAACCTCCAGGGCTGTACACAGTTTAATACTGTCAACTTCTAATTTTGGGAAAAACGAAAACGTCTTTTAAAACTACCATTCCCAGTAGAGACGTGCCATAGAACATGTTGCGAAACACAATAGCCAGCATGTGTAAGGCAAGGCAAGGCAAGGCAAGGCAAGGCAAGGCAAGTTTATTTATATAGCACCTTTCAACACAAGGTAATTCAAAGTGCTTTACAAAAATGGAAGACATTTTAAAAATGGCATTTAAAATCAGTCATTAAAAAGGAAAGATAATGAAATAAACATTAAAAGAAAAAATACATGGATAAAAGTTAAAAGTTACAGTGCAGTTTAAGATGTGAATAGTTCAATTAAAAGCAGCGGCAAAAAGAAAAGTCTTCAGCCTGGATTTAAAAGTAGTAAGAGTTGCAGCGGACCTG